ATGACTGAAATTAAGGCGACATAAGATCAAACAAGAGCCCGGATTCAGCCGGTGATGCTCCCCGAAAAGGTTTTGGACAAATGAAAGTACACCTCTTGTAGTTTCAGAGTAATGTCCCTGGAAATGTTCGAAGTGCAACAATTTAAAATAAGCCCAGGCAGAGTAATTGTTCTTTGCACTGCACTTCTAAACAATGCGATTTATCAACCTACAAAGTTTCTTGTCAATACCTCTTATGGTTTCCGAGTGATGTCCTTGACAATGTTCAAAATGTAAAAATAAACAAAGGGCAATAACTACCAAATTTGGCAAGGCGAAGTTATATAAGAGGTGATATTTCAAAAATTGAATAAAACAGAGTTATATTTTTTGTTCTGCACTTTTACTCAATAAGATCTATCTACCAACAAAGTTTCATGTTGATATCTCTAATAGTTTTTAGACTATGTCCTAGAAAAGATTTTTCTAAAAGGGGAGATAATTAAAAAATGAGGCTTAACAGAGTTATTGTTCTTTTGCACTGCACTTCTACTCAATGAGATCTATCTTCCTACAATGTTTCATGTTGATATCTCTTGATATGAGTTATGTTCCGGACAAAATTCAAAGAGTTAAAATTAACAAAAGGCAAAAACACCAAAATTAGGCAAAAAGAGGTATGGTTCTTGTGCAAAGCACATCTACCCATTGATTTCTATTTACTTACAAAGTTTCATGTTGATATCTCTTATAGTTTTAGAGTTATGTCCCGGACAAGATTTTTTTTCTAAAAGGGGAGATAATTAAAAAACCGGGCAAAATAGAGTTATGTTTATTGTGCACTCCACTCCCCCTCAAGCCCTCTACCACTGTATGAAGTTTAAAAAATATCCAAGGATTTTCAGGTAAGGCTCCGAAAAAGACAACAGACGGACAAGGTGGCGACTATACATGCTATATGCTCTCCCTTCGGGGAGCATAAAAAATCCGGCGACAAATTTAATAGCCGTAGTTGACGAAAATCAGTTCCGGCAGCTCCGGGTGTCTGCCTAGCTTCATGAACATCTGTAAGCGGTTTAAGATTTAATTAAAACCCATTTTCTTTATTCCTTTAATTTGGTTGCAAATACTTGACTTTTGCATAGGAACTGAGTGTTGCCAATGTTCATTTTGATATCTTTACAAAGTACTGGATTTCCGTTTCAATATATTGTCTAAAGTATTCAATATGCTATAAAATTGTATTATTTATAACGACTATGTAAATAAATGTATACATCAATAAATAAATATCGGGTACTACATGTATATTCTTAACAGACAGCAAAATTGTATATATCGAAAGTGTCATTATGCCGTTGAAATTAATGGTCGTTGTACAGAAAAAATACAAATAACTTGTCCATTTTATATTTTACTAAGAAAGAAAAATCAATATTCCACGCGACAAACGGAAATTTCCATAAATAATTCAGAATGTATCGGAAACAATAGTGGTGCAATCTTTTATAATTAAGGTAGTTTATATTGTAAACAATGTTCATCATTAATCACCATTAAAAAGGGCAATCATTTGAATTTATTACTCATTTAATTAAACTTGACATTCAATATGAGCATAATGTCACTTCAAGATTCATGCTTATTTCTTGAAAAAAAATGAAATAAATTACATTGAAAAATATTGTCAGGTGAACAAAGTAAATAATTAAAACATTGCGAACGGCACTTAAAATCTACGAACACTGCAAAAAATAGATCAGAATATAAACAAGAGGACCATGATGGCCCTGAAATCGCTCACCTGTATGTAGGCCCCCGGGGCGGGGCCAATTTTAACCTAGGTGCTTTTTTTTAAACAAACTTGGTAGACACCCATTTGAAGCTGTTTCATGATAAATATTTAAGGTCTAGCTGTAAGAAGATTTTTTAAAAGTTTTTACTATACACATATAGGGAAAAACAAAGACCCCCTCCCCTCTGGGCGACACCAATTTTGTCCCCAGGGCTGTTATTTGAAGAAACTTGGTAGTCAATCACTAGAAGATAATTCATGCTAAATATCTAAACTCTAGCTCTTATAGATTTTTAAGTTTTAACTATATACCTATAAGGAAAATCAATGATCCCCGGGCGGGGCCAATTTTAACCCCAGGGCCCTTATTTGAACAAAAATCGTAGACACCCATAAAAAGATGTTTAATACTTAATGTCTTAGCTCTAGCTAGGTTTTTTTTAAAAGAAGATTTTTTAAAGTTTTTACTATATACATAAAGGGAAAAACGGAAAAAGAAGATATGTTAAGTTTTTACTATAAACATATAAGGAAAATCAATGATCCACGGAGCGGGGGCAATTCTTAACCCCGGGGCCAATTTAAACCCAGGGCCCTTATTTGAACAAACTTTGTAGACGTCCATGAGAAGATGTTTTATGCCAAATATCTTAGCTCTAGCTCTTAGGGTTTTTTAAAAGAAGATTTTTCATGTTTTTACTATATACATAAAGGAAAAAACAAGGACCCCCCTGAGGCAGGACCAATTTTGACCCCAGGGCATTTTTTTTAACAAACTTGGTAGACATTGACTGTGTGATGTTTTATGCCAAATATATAAGCTCTAGCTATTTCGGTTTTCTTAAAGAAGATATTTCAAGTTTTTTCTTTTGGTTGCCATGGCAACCAGAGTTCTGCTTGGAGTTAAATTCTTTATACAAATTTTAAAGTTGACAACCATAGAAACATTCCTGTGAAGTTTGGATCAAATTGGCTTAGCCGTTTATGAGGATATGTCGTTTAAAGTAAAAATTTACGGACGGACGGACGAAGAACGGACGCCGGACGAAAACCGATCACAAAAGCTCACCATGTCACTTTTGTGACAGGTGAGCTAAAAAGAGCTCTGACTGCTTTAGTCACGCAATAGAAATAAGGTGATGAATCCTGCAAAATCAGTCATCAATTGCATACATGTTAATTATGTTTTGAATTTTGAATACTTTTGTTTCTCTGTATTTTTGTACATTTTTCTCTATGTTGATTTAAAAAAAAAATATTTATTTTATCATTTATTACTATTTATTTATTTACTTAGTTGTTTGCTCATCTGGAGGCATGCAGCTTTAAGACCGAACGATAGCCAGCCATTATTTACAATTCCTGAAAAATTAAAACTCTTATTTGTCATCTGCGTGATACAAGTAGAACTAATTGGTGCCATTATTGATCTGATTATGACTTATTATAGTAGTTTAATCATTTGACTCTTTAAAGGCACATTATCATTCAGAAACGATATAATCATCACTTCAAGTTCTTTAGAATTGGCAAATATAAGTAGCATACAGTTAAGATAACGGTGTCAGGGTCTGTAAGATTATGTTACCTGAAAAAAGTAGCGCTTCACGTAAAATAATTTGATATAAACGTAGTAAAATGTAAACAGAACAGAACAAAAAAGACCAGAATGACGTTTTTATTGGCAATATTCAACGCCAAGACGGTGTTACAATTTATGGCGTCAAAGATTAAGATACATGACAAAAGTTTGACATAATTGATCACATCAACAGACAGACAATTTATATATTAACTTTTATACAGGACATCCATTACATATGTAAAGTTATAGTACATACATGTATTCTAAACAGGATGATTGACATATTTAATTGTATTTTAAGAATACAATTTTGCACTGAGGAGAGTAAAATAAGAAAAATATTTAAGTAATAAAGTGATGAAGTTAAGAAAGTACATAGTGTACAGACTGGCCAAATAAATATTTACAAGTGTATTTTATATAATCAATATCATAGGGTATTAAACAATTCAATGTTTCTATACTTCATCGTTTAAACGTATATTTCAACGTTTGTAATTAGCCAGATAATTAAATATATTTTGGCAAGTTTGTTTATTGAATATTTATTTTTATATTTAAACAATTTTCTTTTAAATTTCTGTACATTGTATACTTGGCCAAGAATTGTTATATTTTGGCAGATAGAAATAGAAATAAAGTTTATTTGTCAACAGGAAAATGTATCTTAATTTATTCGATAAGTCGAGGGATAATGGCTCTCCTTGCTTTACACCCATATAATCAGATAGAAATTTACTTTGACATAAGCATTCACATTCTCATACATGACTCTATACAACATGTAGGTGAGGCATTCATATTTGTGTTTCAGTCTGTATATGTAGGTGTATAGGGATAACCTGAATCCTTTGTAAACGTACTATTTAAACCAGCTGTCCGGGCGATTGATTGGCGCTCATGGTTTGAGAATTGTATGGCAGTGGTGAGAAAGTACCAGTATTGGTCAGTTGTTTAGTTGGTGTTTAGCTAGTGAACCAGTCACTGAATTAGGCGACGATTTGGATATCGTCCGTTTCTTGTTTCTGCTGGACATGGTCCATATAATCCATACAAAGTCCATTAAGATAAAGTAATCAAAGAAGTTCATTACAATAGCATAACAATATAGTGATCATTCTGTCATTGGCAATATCGGTAAAATGTTGTAAAATTTTAAGTCCGTTGAAATTTATTGAAGTATTTTGTACTCAAGATAAACAATAGTACCGTCTTTATCAATATCCAAATGTAAATCTAATTTATTGCACCATCTGAAACATTCCATTACATTTCGGTATACATTATAACCACATTTTAGTTAAGAAACATACTATAAACTGCTTTATCAAGAGCACTCATGAAACGCGTCGTCACCTTAGTGCAATAACAAATTACATATGGAGTTAACCTGGTATTGCTCTAAGGTGGCGACTGCTTTAGCATATCAAACTATTAGTAGCAGTATTTTGACTTCCATACAAAATCACTACAATTGTACTAAAAAGGCAACAAAAGAAAAAATAGTCGGTATTCGGTCAGAGTCAAAATGTATAAAAATATAGATAAAAAACTATTTAGAAGAATCAAAGCGTTTCTAGGGCGTTATGGGCCTTTAATATCTAATAAATGAAGCATGTAAAGATAAGTATGCACTTTATATTTATGAATTCAGTGTAATAGAAAATATTGCATGTGTCAGTGTAATAGAAGTTATTGCACGCGTCAGTTTTTTGTCAGTCAGTGCATGATCTTCACGGATATTAATCCGCTTTTTTTAAAAGTAGTTTTCATTACTGGATAATGTTTCATATAGAAACGATGATTTCTCGAAACAAGATGATAATTTTTATCTTATTTTGCTACGTAACAGTAACGAGCCAACACGTTCTAGGTAAGAGTAAACATTTATTTGATAAGTGCTCAAAATGACATTTTGACAAAGTGTGAAAATATCTTTATTTAATTTTATGATATGCGTTTTATGAGGGTATATATGTGCATAATTCTCCGTTTATTATATACAAGTATGTGATATATGATATTGATACGAATATTAGTAAATTATTTCCCCTTATTCTCCTTGTAAATATTATTTCTCGACGCTTTTGATGTATGATTACAATTTTAAAACGATTTATTTATAAGTTTAATTTTTCGAATCTGAAGAAACATGATTTATGTAAATGGTAATTGTCGTATGTTCACGGCTTGTGTAATGTTTTTACACATTTCCTTAAAAAATAGCTCTAAAATTAAAAAGCATATTTTAATTTTTCATTTACAAATATTTAATTCTATAAGAATATACTAGTATTTACATTTGAATGTTCTGTCTTATAGAAAGGAAAATTACAAAACGTGATATCGTATGTTTTGCGCCAAAGTATGTTCATATATATTATCTTGATATAGATGTATAATATTTCTATTCAGATAATATCGCACTCAACAAGCCAGCGTACCAGACAGATACAGCTTTCGGCACAACTGCCCAGTTGGCTGTCGATGGTGGTATCTCAAAGAGTTTTAAGAATGGATCATGCACGCATACAGCCGCTACCGTGAATGCATTCTGGGAGGTTGATTTGGGCAAAGATTTTTTTATTGATCACGTGACTATATATAATCGTGACGATTGTTGCCGTAAGATTTGTTTTATAGACACATTATGTCTCAAAAATAATTGTTCATTCTTAAGAAAAGGCAAACATTAGTTTAATAACGTTTTCTAAATGTACTTGGAACTGAAACACTTACTATGCTGTATGAACGCCATAAAGGTTGCATCCTTAATTTGAAGTTGAAACTGTTTTGTATGACAGAAAAAAATTAAGACTCGTTAAGCTATTATATATTAATTGAATGCTAAATGTTGATGAAATTCATTACAGTTGAGCGGTTAAGACATGTTGAGCTATACATCGGTTCAAAGACACAGACATACAAAAAGTACGGTTTCCATGAGGGAGTTATGGGACTTGTGTATACGTTTGAATTAGAACACACCGTGTTTGGGCGCTGGGTACGCATTACTAGGAGTCCTTCTGTGACAGACAAGTTAACCTTATGCGAGGTCCAAGTGTTTGGATATGAAAATTCACAATGTAAGAGACATAACTTGCAATAATTAATCACATTTCAAACTTAAGAAAAATGAAGAAGGTAGTTTTTTACACACAAGCTCAGTGTGCAGATGACAAATCAAAACCGTGTCTCGCAATTTGGAAGCGTGAGAAACGCTGAGAAAAATTAGTCTTTAATCAACACTATTCTGTTAGTTTGTCTACCACCTATGTTGTGTTATATATCACAAAAGAGAAACTTAACTTGCTTTTTTCTTAAACTCTTTGACTTTATTCTTCATAATCAAACTAAAATAAAATAATTATTTTTCAAATGTTATGTGCTTTTAAACAAATCATCAAGTGTTGAACATATTTTCACGCTTTAAAATGTGCGTTTCTTTACAAAATATGATTAAGTGAGAAAAATGTGTAAAGAAATATACCGGTTTTAACTATCTAAGTTTTGCATGTTTCTCATGAGTAGTTATGTTGCAAAATCTAACATTTTATCAAATATCGATATAAATAATGCGTTTTTCATTAACAAAAGTTTGTTTTTCAGATTTTTCTTTCGTGCCAATCGCGTTGGGGAATGGAGCTCAAACAAGAGTACAGGGTTTGACACCAATACAGTGTGCTTACTTATGTTATAAAACAAATGGATGCGACAAAGCTAGTTTTCAACACGATGAAAATATGTGTGTCTACAACTAATGAAAATTGTTAAAGAATCAATCTTCATATTTACGTGCACAATGAGAACATTGGTTGTTAACTCGAGTAACACGGATTTTGACTTCAGATGTGTTACTTTTCTTGAACATTTACGAAAATATAAAGATAACCCAACCTGCATCCCATGGGTAGTCATTCCATTGTATTAACAACTTTTTTAATGATATGCTTTATTTTTTAATGCAATGTTATGATAAAAAGAAACAACAATTTTTTTTGTTTATAAATATCAAAATAGAGATAACCCGCATTAATAAGAAACACATTTCATATAATTGATGTACTTATTAAGATCTGTATTATATGTATTCTCGGACTGTTTTTATTATTTTTTTATTATTATTCTACCAGTGGGTATGCCTCATTGTGTATTTGTATTAATGTTTGCCACATTTTGTCATGTAATGAGTGGAAATAAACGACTGCTGTCATCACGAGTATAACAATTCGTGCTTGATGTGAAGGATTGCAGGAGAAAACTCCTTTTTCAGAAGATACATAGCACTGAGTTTAAATGGAAGGAATATAGTATTGTGATTTTTATAAATTGTAAATTTCTTTGAAAAAGTTTGACAAATAGAGGAGGTAAGCAACACAACAGTACCAACAACGAAAAAAGAAAGAAAAGCATATAGACTGGGGTTTCTTAAATTGTAAAATATAACAACCATTCTGTCTGTGTCACAATACTTTTTTTTCTGCTAAAGATTATTGTAAATTTATTTCGAAAAGTAAACATTTTAGTTATTTTATTGTTTATATTATAAATGAAAGACTTAATACAGCGAAATAGAACCTTCTGAAAACTTAGTAACTAATATCTCATTATTGGAAGATGGCTAAAAGATATTGAACAATCAAAAATGTAATTAAAGACACGGAAACTAATTTACTGTGAAGTAAACCAATACTTAGAAATAAATACTTACAATACAATAAAATGCAGTATGAAATAAATTTTGCTAGCAATTAATTTTCATACTCAAGCTTTTAAGAAAGCAGTCTGACGAAAAATAGATCTTGTCGAAAATACTATTAATAATGCAAAAACGTGAACAGAGTAATAAGGACGAAATTCAAACTAAAATGATATAAAAGAGATAACAAATTATTTGATGGTCTGGAAATAAGGTCAAGCGTAATTTCGGTCGATAAAAGGCAAAAGCTATCAGCATATATATGTTCTCTAGAAAATCAAACTACAGCAGAGGTATGCCTACTGACTACGATTCAAACTCCATACCGGTGTTAAATAGCTGATTAACCAAATTAAGTCCGATATTATTTTTTAAATAACAAATAACTTATGATTTGATGCTTTGCTGATACGTTATTTAGTTACAGTTTACCACGAAAAAATGTTCTTTGTTTGGCTTTTGTACATACTTTTATAAGAATTGTTTTTAAAAGTTATTCGTTTGGCAATACAAGTGCTTTACTCAAAACTATCTAATATGAAGTTCACATTATAGTTTAGTGACATCCCTCAAACTACATTCGCTAAAGTAAAAAGAAACAGGATTAATAAAGGCTAAAACTTTGACACTGGATATATTTCAAACTACAAATTATTGCTACCAAAAGAATTATAGTAACGCAACAATCTATAGGCATCAACTCATTTTGTATGAAATTATAGAGTTCTGAAAGCCAACTCTATTTTTTCAAAAACTAATATAAAGACCATACATTTGAAATTAAATTCCGAGTCCCCTTTTTTAAGGAGAATTGACGACCCTGAATCTGGGAAAACGGTTGAGACATTTAAAATGTGCACAAGTGTAACAGATGTCGATTATTCTTTAAATGAAATTAAATTCAACAAGAGCCATGTCCACATGGCCATCCCCCGCAGAATGTGTTTGCTCCATGGAAGAATGTATATGAAGTAGAGCAGAATAATTCAATTTTAGTAGGTCTTTTGGTAATGAAAACTGATGGCTGAAGTGATTACATAATTGAAACCTATGTGAATACTGATGGCTGAAAATAACAAAGGGCAATACATGTGTAACTGAAAAATAATGCAGGGTAGGTTATCATTGTAGTGTGCTGCACCCCTCCTCAGTAAAATCTATCCACCTATGAAGTTTCAAGTTGATACCTCAAATACTTATTGAGATAAGCTCCGGACAAAATAGTATGAAAAAGAACAAAGAGCAATAACTCAAAAATTATATAGGAAAGAGTTATCATTCTTGCGCACAGCATTCCTCCTCAATAAAATTATAAAGGGAAGAGTTATCATTCTTGCGGACAGCATTTCTCCTCAATACGATCTATCCACCTGCAACATTTTCAATTTCGCCGTGTTGGGCTTTCTTTAGGGATTTTGTATTTATCTATTTCATATTGACATCTCAAACACTTTTGAGTAATGCTCCACTCAGGTGAAAAATTAAGTATGAAAAATAACAAAGGGCAATAACTCAAAAATCATGAAAGGTAGAGTTATCACTTTTTGTGCACTGCACACCTCCTGAGTGAGATCTATGCATCTGTGAAGTTTCATGTTGATATCTCAAAGGCTTTTTGAGTTATGCTCTGGACAAAAATTAATTTGAAAAATAACAAAGGGCAATAACTAAAAAAATGTGCAGAGTCGAGTTATCATTTTAGTGCATTGCATTCCTCCTCAGTGAGGTCTATCCACCTATGAAGTTTAAAGTTGATACCTCAAATACTTTTTGAGATATGCTCCGGACAAAAATGTCGGACGGAAGGTCGGACGTAGGAGACTATTTCAATACCCCCGCCGCCTTTTCGGCGGGGGATAAAAACACAGTTTTTTTTCTCAAGTTTCTCATCTGCGGATGTTTCAAAATTCTAAATTTTACCAGTTCATGTTAAATGTTGAATTCTGCTTAAGCCGGTGCTAGGGTGGAGGGCGTGGACGGTAGTTTGCACTTGACAGTTCCGTCCATGATCAGGCTCAATCAAACCGAGCCTGCAACATTTTCAATTTTGCCGCGTTGGGCTTTCTTTTCACTCTATATTTGTGTGAAGTCAAAACATGTTTATTTCATATTTACAAAGAGATTGTGTAGCAATTATCAATATTTTCTGATATCAAATTTCAGCATAGTATATCTTAAAACAATGTAAAATTTTCTGATTGCAAACAAATTGTCCTAATTTCTATGTCACAATAAACTGTTATAACAATAGCATCAAAGATAACAACATGGGTGTAATTTAATTAACTAGGGATTGCGTATTCTTATAAGTACCTGTCATCAAACTCCTATGCAGTTGGCAGTTAGCTTCCCTACACATTTAGGCGTGAGGAGTGTGAACTGTCATGTGACCGGATTTTGTTTTATCGAAAATGCATAAACGATTTTGAATTAAGTTGTGATATGGATTTAAAATATGTGACATACTCATCACATGTGAATGTAATATCATTTGTGATAAAGGAAGTGAAATGTAAACAAAGAGGTACTCTGACTTGCGTTCATTGAACGCCGCCTTTCCTTGTTGATCTTGTTTTTCATATTCCATACAATATACTAATTAACTATAAAGATAACTATAACTATATATAAACAAAAGATGGTTCTGAAATATAACCATTGAGTAACTTTTGGAAAGTACATTTAAAATTAAATTAAAATTACAAAAATCTGGAAACAAAGTGATCCCTCGGAAGCATTAATCACAACAAAATTACAAGAGAACCGCAGACTCGGTTTGATTGAGTCTGTACATGAGGGATAATGAAAATGTGCAACATCCCTCACGCCCTCTGGCATTCTGCCTTATGCCCTTCCCTGTTTTTGTTTGGGGTCCTCCTGGGCTCCTTGCCACTGACCCTTGTTACTGGGTCGGGTGGGGGCTGTGTTCATTGAACGCCGCCTTTCCTTGATGATCCTGTTTATCATATTTTATCAGTGTTGTTTGTGCTGTGTGGAGGCTGTAAAAAGTCGCCCCGTACATTCAATCAGGGATGTTATATTTCCGATCCTTAAAGATCGTTCAGCACGACATTATTGTTGTGCGTGTGGTATTTTAGATCTATTCTGCATCTTTCTTGTTGGGTGGTTCCAGTATTTCTCACTTGAATACTGTTGAATCATCCTTAGGATATGAGGCCTGCTTTTTAAATTTGTCTTTTGACGTTATATCTGTGATATGCAGGCTTCATAACCTCAGATCCCCTTTCAAAATTCCATTTTATTTAGTTCCGCCCATTGTTTTTTCGTTTAGGGCACACGTATTTTTATGCTCCTCGAAAAATTTCGGGGGAGCATATAGTCGGCGCCTTGTCCGTCTGTTTTCTTGTCCGGAGCATAACTTGAAAACCCTTGGAGATAATTTGTTTAAACTTCATACAGTGGTAGAGGGCATTGAGGGGGAGTGCAGTGTCAAAGAATCATAACTCTAATTTGCCCGGTTTTTGAATTATCTCCCCTTATAAAAAAATCTTGTCCGGGGCATAACTCTAAAATAGATAAATAGAGAATCCCTAAAGAAAGCCCAACACGGCAAAATTGAAAATGTTGCAGGCTCGGTTTGATTGAGCCTGTTCATCTCTAAAACTATAAGAGATATATCAACATGAAACTTTGTAGGTGAATAGTTCTCAATGGGAAGATGTGCAGTGCATAAGACCAATAACTCTTTTTGTCCTAATTTTGGAGTTATTGCCCTTTGTTAATTTTAACACTTTGAACTTTGTCCGGAACATAACTCTAAAACTATATGAGATATCAAGATGAAACATTGTAGGTAGATAGATCTCATTGAGTAAAAGTGCATTGCAAAAAAACCATTACTCTATTAAGCCTCATTTTTGAATTATCTCCCCTTATAGAAAAATCTTGTCCGGGGCATAACTCAAAAAATTTGAGAGATATCAACATGAAAATTTGTAGGTGAATAGATATCAATGGGTAGATGTGCAGTGCATAAGAACAATAACTCTTTTTGTTCTAATTTTGGAGTTATTGCCCTTTGTTAATTTTAACACTGAAGTTTGTCCGGAACATAACTCTAAAATTATAACAGATATCAAGATGAAACATTGTAGGTAGATAGATCTCATTCAGTAAAAGTGCATTGCAAAAAAAACCATTACTCTGTTAAGCCTCATTTTTTAATTATCTCCCGTTTTAGAAAAATCTTGTACTGGACATAGCTGTAAAACTATAAGAGATATCAACATGAAACTTTGTAGGTGGATGTATCTCAATGGGTAGATGTGCAGTGCACGAGAACTCTGCTTTGCCTTATTCTGGAGTTATTGCCATTTGTTTATTTTTACTTTTTGAATTTGTCCGGAACATAACTCGAAAACCATAAGAGATATCAACAAGAAACTTTGTAAGTTGATAGATAACAGTGATTAGAAGTGCAGTGGAAAGAACAGTAAAAAATTCTGGAAACAAAGTGATCCCTCGGAAGCATTAATCACAACAAAATAACATAAGAATTGCAGACTCGGTTTGATTGAGTCTGTACATGAGGGATAATGAATAAGTGCAACATCCCTCACGCCCCCTAGCACCGGCTTGAGCGGTACTCAATTCTCAACACTTTATAGTGTTGGCATCAACTCTGCCTTTCCTAATTTTGGAATTATTGCACTTTGAACTTTTTCCAGGGACATAACTCTGAAACTACAAGAGGTGTACTTTCCTGTGTCCAAAACCTATTCGGGGAGCATCACCCGGCTCTTGTTTTATTTGGGGAC